AAGAGCGTCTGGAGAGATGGTGAGACCTGTTCAAAACCCCACCTGTGTTACCTAGCTTAACTTGCACATGACCTGACAATTCAGTGTACATTCAGTTCAGTTACTACTGTTAACTGCAATTAATAATACTTATTTAATGTATGATACTACATGAAGCTAGCTTTCAGAGACTGCATTTTCAACCAAGATTTCAATGTAAGATGATATCTAAATGTATCTGTTAGAACTACTATTTATTAGGCAGAGGGCTTTTTATTACCCCAAAATAAAATTAACAGGTTGGAGTCCTGAGTAGACTTGAAAGGACACATATCTGCAAACCATTCTTCAGCTCTTCTGTTTATTCATTAACTGGCTTGTACAGCTAGAAGATATTTATGCTCTGCGACTTCTAATACAGACTTTACTGTTACACGTAGTGAAGGGAACCTCCTGTTGGTGGGAGCTCTGCATCCACAGTGAGCTGGTAACAGTGCTTCTGGTCTAGCCTACATTTACAGAACTTCTTCAAATTATTTCTCCCCTTCCTTGCAGTGAAGTAACTACTGTTAATGCTTTGAGGCATTACATTCAGTCTATTACCACATAAAACTAAATTTGTTTAGCTTTAATTTGTGCCATTTCTTTGAAAAAGCAGGCTTGGATATCCAGCTGGTTGCATTAATGGTTTTGCTTGTACCTTAAATATTTGGCAACTTTTTACCACTGTTTTTCATTTAGCCCCACTTGTTACTTGCTCTTTAAATGTTAACCCCTGCCAGAATGACCTAAAATGCATGTATTCACCTGATAAACAGAAGGAGAACAGACTGTCTTTAAAAAAATAAATAAATAAACATTCAAGTCCAGTACCTGTTGCTTTGAAGACTATTTCTTGTGCCAGTGTAGAAGATCCACGCTGGGGCGGGGGGAGCCACATTCTGCTATTGCCCAAACTCTAGCTCTCGAAGCCAGAAGCAAGTCGGTCTCATACAGGAAACACTGAATTAAGAACTATTTAGTTTGGTAAAAAATGGTGCTTGTTTTTGCCTTTTTTTTTTTTTTTTCCCTATGGATCGTATAGTTGACCTGTCTCTTCATGTACATCAAATCTAACATGAATGTGCGGCAAGTTACATAAAGTACATCCTGCACTGAAGCTACTGAGCTTGGCTTGCTTATTAATGAAGTAAACTTAAAATGTTAAATTTAAGGCTATATTGCAATAAAGTAATGCAAAGATGATTTTGGCTGAAACTGAAGTCCTGCAGTTAAACTTACTCTCAAATGTGGTTTACCCAACTGGAGTAATAGAAACTCTTAAGTCATAATAAACTTAATACAAAAACAACACTTGAGGCTTCTTTGTAATTATTTAATTTTCCGGAAAAATGATCAGTAAGCCCCAAATAGAAGATGATTGGAGTGGGCGAGCACGGTTCTCGGAAGCGCAGTCTGCCTGTGGCTCCCGAGGCGGCCTTGGCTGCAACTTCCTTTCTCTCCCGACACCATGGACGGTGTCACAAGTGGCTTTTAATGGGCTAAAGAGGGTTGTAGGAATTGGGATATTTTTTTGGGTATGTCAGGTAAGCCGTAACACTTGATCAAAAAGCTAAGCAGTGCTGACCACAGCAGTTGGTACTTTTTTTCTCTGTAGAGCTGGGAGTGTGTGCAGACTTCAGTGAAATAGGGCTCTTTAACTAGCTTTGTGCTTCATGGGGGTGTTTCCAAACCTAGAAATAAACTTATTTTCTGCTTACCTGATAACACCAGCAGCTTTCTCAACTTCAGAGAATGCTTTGTCACAGGTTTTCAAGCTAAAGTTTTCCTTTTTTTGCTTCAGGTTTTCATGAATTACATGGGTCGGGGCAGTGAGAAGCGTTCTTCAAGGGCTGTTACCCCAAGTCTTTCTTGGGAGCGTGAGGCTGGGGCTGGCGGGACTTGGGCCCGCTGCGGGGCCGGGGAAGCTCCACGCTCTTGGGCCCGCTCACGATGGTGCTGGTCCCCTGGCGGGGCGGAAACACCTCCAGGAGCTGCTGCTGGGGCCACTCTGCAGTCAGTGCTGGTGCCTCCTGCCTGCTCCTTCGTTCATCCTTGTCCAAGTCCACTCACAAGTAAAGATCTGTCTTGAAGCTGCCTGCAGCGAGCAGGCCGGGCGCCCGTGCCGCACGGACGCGGCATCCTACCTGCGACCGGAGACTCGCAGGCAGGGCCTGCTGGAGGCAGCAACGTCAAGACCCCAGCTTTGTGTGACTGCTTTTGTAAGTGATGCTGCTTGCTTATTCAAGCCGTTTGTTTCCGTTACTGTTTTGGCCTTCACGCTGGGTACATCAGAGCTGCGTTTCCATTGACTAAGAGGGAATGTGAAGGGGAGAAAAGGACCAGGAGCCTGACCTTGGGCTTATACCTTGGTCTGTAGAAAATCTTGGAGTTAAGTGTAAAAAGTACTGGTCAGCTAAGTAGCGTGGGAGCTAAGGACACTTTTGGCTGTACTTTTGCCTATCTTGTATCAACTTTTAAGTACAGAGAAACATGTGAATTTGGTTCTGGATATCACATGAGCAGAGTGTTTGCTCTGAGTGAAAACAAATCTTGGGTCCCTATTCAAATTACCAACAGTCTTGCACCATCTAATGTCGCCTTGTCAGAAAACAACTCCTGCTCTTCCAGTTCCAAAACCTAAGCTATGAGAATTGTTTTTTCACACCTACTATCTTACAAAATACCAAAGCAGAAGTACAAAATGTTTGTAGCTGAACATGCTAAGAATCTTTAATTTCTGCGGGAGTTTTGGTAGGGTTATTTCCAGTCCTTGCATCCTCTGACTCTGCATGCTCTGGCTCACAGTTTGGCCAGTTCTGCAAAATTGAAGCATGAAGGTTAGTGATTATCACTTCATTGGTTAAATGTTGACAGCTTTTTTGAATTCATTTTTAAGCGAATTCCTAGAGTTTTAGTTACAATGTGATGTGTGAGACTAAAATAAGAGAAAATATCAATTTTCTCTTGTTCTACTGAGGCACTACTTGGTCTCATACAGTTTGAAACTTCCATTTGCTTATTGCCTCTTTGCAGATTGATGATGCTTTTCAGACCACATATTAACCACAAAAATATTTGAGTCTTTTAGAATGTTTCAGGGTAGTCTTTAAAAAAAAATACTTTTTTTTTTGATCTTCTGGAGTTTTTAAAGCTCTGGGAAAATTGTGCCACAAATTAGCAAAAACGACATCTCCCCATACCTGTTTCACAAGGCACAGCTGAAGGTAACTACTGCTGTCTTTAAAAATGTTTTCTTGTTCTTCAAAATGTTTTCTCATCTTCTCTACAAGCATCTACCCCCCAAAACACAAAGATTGTTTGTATGCTGCTCCCATCTCTAAGCTTTTCTCTTAAAAAAGCTCAAAAAAACAAAACAAAACAAAAAGCCCTCCAGCCTGGCCTTTCTTGGGTCCATTTAAAGAAGCTGCCGTGGAGCAGCAGCAGCGCTCTGCCCTGGAAGGGCCTTTTTGCCGTCTCCCGCTGCAGAACCCATCATCGCTGCTGCGAGTCCCTGAAGACGTCCTGTGCCGACGTGAATTTCTGAATCTTTGTGACTGAAGCGCTTGGAGTTTGCAGAGTGGGAAGCCGCTAAGCAATATTTGAAGCACTTGTGTGCTGCTGTGTGACAGTGCAGTTGCATACCTAGCCCACACTGTTTCTAAAAACTGTGTATGGACTGGGGTAATTATTCAGCTAGCTGCCTGTTTAACACAGCTCTGGAGCTGGCCTTGCCAAGAATCAAATTTCATTAGACCTAGATGCATTTCCCAAAATAGAGGTAATTTGTCCCCTCTACTTTAAAAAGCACCAAGGCGGTGGAGCTGCCACCGTGTGGGAGACGATTAAAGCGCAGCCGAGTGCGAAAGCTCCAGCCCTGCGCACGGGCAGCCAATGCTGCGGGACGGGCAGAGACGGGCTCAGAGGCTAATGAACTTAATATTAAAACGCGTATGAGTTTCCCAAAGCTTTAAGGGTTGCAAGGGCCACGGAAGTTAAAGGCCGTGGCCAGTCCCTGGATCTCATTTGAAACCCAGTGCTTCA